TTTTCGACAGCCTCTATTTCTACTTCTTACTTGTTTTCTGTCGAATTATCCCTCTGTGATAAATCGACGTGCAGCATATCGTGTTGAGCCTCTGTCTCCTGAATTTCCCCTTACTATTTTTTAATGCTTCCTCATCAGTTACCCAACCTGTGGGAGGGGGCATTATTTTTGGAGGTGATCCATACTTTTCAGAGCAAGACACTCTCCTCTTCCTTTTGGGCATCCCGTACAGTACGTAGAAATCGAAAGGACGCCCAGATGGCTCTCCCAACAAGTCTACTTCGTGAACTCCCTCTCGATGTAGTTGTTTCAACAGAGTATTGTGGGTACTCCTCTCCTTCTTCTTTCTACTTCTAGGTCGATTTTTTTTTCGATGTCTGTCATCCCATCTTCTTCTTCATCATTGTAGGCCTCTCCAGAAGTTTGGCCTTCTTCACATTCCAGCATGCAAGCCTCTCCTTCGTTGTCCTCCCTTTCTTCTCCTTCTTTTTCTTTATTCTTGAATTCATTGGCCAGTAAGTAATTATTAGCCACGACAGGAGGTAACATACCGAACTGGATAGTAAGGGGCTGATCTGGATCTTCTCCATCCCTTCTATCTCGCTCAAACTTTGATCTCCCAGAAGAAGTCTTTGGCAGTTCTTTCATTGATTCATCTGTACCGGTCTCTTCACTATCTTTGAGAACATTTTGATTGGCTACCTTGAGTAGTTTAGGCGCTTTAGGATGTGACACTCCCTATTGCTGCCTTATCATTCGTCCATAGTTTCGTTGGAAACGCCTTTATTGGGTTCTAGTCATCTCATCGAAGGGTACTGCTCTTCCTGCATTATATTGGAACGAATGCCATACATTTGGCCGGCGAGGTTGCGGCCTGAATGTTCTCTCATTATCTACTGGCCTGAACTGCCTCTCAAAAGGCAGTCCTTTATAGAATGATGTACCTCACCCTCTACCAGGCTGAGTGTTTGGGAAGAAAGTAGGGCGATGGGGATGCTGCCATATCCCTGGTTTCTCCGTATTTACACTCACTTCTCTTTTACATCTTGCACACAGGACGTCTTTGTCCTTTTTTGGTTCTTTCCCCTTGATTCGTTCAAAGACACTGGGATGTGGTCTAGGATCCTCTTCTCCATCATCTATGACCAACTTGAATTTTGGCAACTTGTTTTTGAAACCAGACGTCACCATGTTCACTCCAAGTGGCTGTGGAAAAAGATTTTCATCCACTGCCATCTTCTTCTTATCGTCGAACGTAATTCGTCCTGATTCAATGGCATCCTGCAATACATGACGAAAAATCAAGCAATTGTTAGTCAAATGTGACCATGCATTATGCCACTTACAATATTTTTTACCCTTAATTTGTTCAGGGTTTGGCAATTTATGCTTATCGCTCAACTTTATCTGCTTATCCCTATATAATTTATCAAATATAAGGTCAGCTTTGGTTACATCGAACGAGAACGTTCTAACCTTTATGTTTCCATCTTTAATGGGCTCATCTTTGCCCGATGGTCTAGGCTTAACCATTATAGGACAAGTATACGTATCTCCTTTGACCAGTTCGGCCGAACACATTTCGGCCTGATTGTATGACTCGTCGCTGATGGTATGAACGTCAAAATTTGGGTCTTTGTAATAAGTCCCTTTACTAGAATTTTTCATCTGCTCTTCCTCTCTTATCAGTCGTTCATATCTAATCACATTCGCACTCAACTGAAAAAAGTTAGGAAATTTCTTGTCCTGGAATTTCTTTTTTAAATCAAAGCTCAAACAACCCTGAGCGATTTTGATAAATTCTTTTTTAGACAGAGGTACAAAACACTTGCTTCTTGCTGTCTTGAACCTTTGGAGAAAACTTTCTGCCCATTCGTTTGGCATTTGACGTAGATTCGCCAAATTAGCCAAAGTGACTTCAGACTCAGTTTTATAAAACTGAGCGTGGAATAACTGTTCCAATTGTTGCCATGTTTGAACAGAGTTCGCTGGCAAGTTGATGAACCAGGAAAAAGCTACTCCTGTTAATGAACTAGGGAAAAGCCTCATTTTATGGTAATCAGTTACATCACCACTTTGCAATGTGAATCGCCCTATGTGTTCTAGAGTAGAAACCTCTCCTAAACCGGTAAACAGTGAGAATTCTGACACTTTATACCCTCTAGGCCATGGATATGCTTGGTTTACCCAATCAGGATATGGCTTTGTGTAAGTCGGCCTGATGACAGGACGCACCCCAAAAGCCACCTGATCCTGTACGATTTTCATAATCTGATTCCTCAACATAACGTTGGGGTCATATGGAATTCCTACAGGTTGGTTAACCGGTTGATTTGCATGAGGCCTGATGTTTGGTCCTCGATTGGCAACAAAGTTACCATGATTAGGGCCATTACCATTAGCTTAAACATCTATTCCCTCATTAACACGTGGGGTATTCTGTCCATTGTTTAGGACATTATCTCTTACATTTGGATTACCCCCCAAGTTAGGCATACCACTACCATTGTTCTGAATTGGCACTGCACCACCCCATTGGTTTGAAGTAGAGGGACCAGAAAGTGGTTCTACTCCTTGATTCGAATTTAGGACTGAGGGATTATGTCCCACAATTGTCCTAATTTGAAAGTGGTTTGCAAGAGGCATAACCGGTTGACATATTTGGCCTACTAACTTATTCATTATTTTGTTCAAAGTGTTTAGTTGTTTGGCCATGTTGTCATAATGTGCATTCCCATTTTGGGCAAATCTTTCCATATTATGAATATTTCGAAGATTTACCTGTTCAACGACATCTTGTGTGAGTTCTCCAAGTAGTGCACGCATGGTTCGAGGACTCAACTCTGTCATTGGTTCGTAACGACTGTTAGTGCTCTAATTCTGTCCATCTGTTCGTGGAAAGGTATGCTGTTCCTCATATCGCTCGATCATAGACTGGATTCCTCCCTGACTTGCTGCTTCCTTATCGGATCTCTAAGGTATATTGTTTCATCTTTTGTATTTTCAACACCAAACACCACTGTCCCATTGGGCGTGCCAAATTGTTTCGAGCGGGTTCGTCGCTAACAATTAAAAGGGATCAGACGATTGTGTAAGGGACAAACCTCTTGAGACAAAGTCCCAAAAAGGGGTGTTATTTATTGGCGATGACTTTACAATTGGAAATTAAAAACAGAATGCCTCCAAGGGGCGCAAGCACACGAGTTACTGAAAGAAGTGTTTAAATCTAAGCTAAGAAATTTAAAATTACATGTTCTCTGTTCGAGAGTTTTGATTCGGGGTCCTTTTGCTCTATGTCTTTTCTTCCTTTTATTCTCCCCGGATGATCTCTTTGTAATCAACCGCCTAAAAACTGCTTAATCGTTCTATAACTGCCCACTTTCCTCGTAATGACCAACTTGTCATGGAACTGCCTTTTTTAACTGCATGCCATTACTCTTCGTCGTTCAACCGTTTTCGATTGAATTTCTTGAATCGTGGAACGTGATAGGGCTGCTTAATAACTGCTTTGATAATTGCGCTTCTTGATAACCACAACACTTCATGTTTGCTAAGACCTTGGGCGACTCGAAGGTTTGGGTGAGAACAGAGTAACATTTCTGGGTGACTGCATGGCACTCCGTTGGCTCAGGTCCTGGGCGATTTGCAAACTTGGGTGATGGTGTTACCGCGTTCCTGAGCTTCCCTATTTGGGCTTTCACCCTAAATTGTCTGATTGGGCTTCATTCTTTGGGCTATCTGATTTGGGGATCCTCCCATTGTGCTTCATTCTTTGGGCCGAGTTTTTATGTGTCAACAATAGTCAATTTGTTATTTGAAATATGGCAAAAGTCTTTAAAATCAAAAGACGCCACTAGTAAATGTCTTCTCAATTAAGACATGACCATTACAAAAGGTTCTTCAAAACTTTTCCCTATTTCAACATAGCAAAATTTAATTTGGAATAAATGATAACCGAAAAAGGGAGATATCCCAAAAAGCGAGCAAAAGAAAGAGTGCATTTGATTATGAGTATGAAACTTGTATGGAAAGAAAATAAATTTTAGATTATTAAATTGTGTGGAACCTTATTTGTATGAAAATTATTAATTAAATGTGTTTGATTCATTTAGTTATTAACCTAGAAAATTTTATACCGGTCTACTTTTTAGTGGTGAGTAAATAATAGATAGGAGATAGATGGAAGAGAGAAAGTGATAATAAATTATCTAAAAAATAGAAATCACCATTCCCTAAAGAAAACGTTTTCCTTGTTTTTGAGAAAAATATGATCACGTAATCAAAAGTTAAAAAGTATTTTTTATGAATAAAATTGTCAATCAAACACCCCAAAAATAAGAAATTTGAATGGAATAAAATTACATTTTTCCATAGAAAAATAACGTTAACCGAACATACTCTAAATTCTTTTCTCAAAGAAACATGTCATTCAACTCCATTTGACTACAACCTTCTTTTTTGCTTTATTTCGAAAGGGAACCATTAGATTTAAGTAAGTTCATCTTCAAATTTAAAACAAAAAAGATTCACAAATTTAATGATTTTTTTACATGTGAACCAAGAAATGTAAAATATAGAAAGCGTAAATACATGTCGGTCTGTTGATTTTTATATTTAACGCATTAATTAAAAATAATGTAAAAAAAATTAAATCCTTACCTCTTGTCTCTCTAGATACAAAGAAAATTAAATTACGTGATAAAAATAAAATCTCAAAAATCATAAAAAAAAATCGTTGTCCAAGCTAATTTACCCACCAACACATTCACGGTCATTTACCCAAAATATCGAAATAATAAAAAAATATTTTTTTTGTAATAATTTCCATCGGTAGAGGTTTATGGTCACATGAGATCCAATACAATGAAATAAAACCATTGTGGTACTAAAATATTCAATTTTCAATTCCTACCCAGAGTTAGCTTTCTGTACTAGCTAAACTTAATTTTAGAAAGTCGGGACCATCCACAACTTTTATTTTATTTTTAACACAACCAAACACGTCAAAAGGAATCTACAATTCATTCAAGAAACATAACAGCAGAAAAATTTGAGGTTTAAAATTGCCATCACAAAGCAATCCTTGAAACAAAATGGACAACTTTCCTTCCAAAAGCGAGTGTAAACCATGATGTATGAGTGTAAACCATGATGTATGACCGTACGTAATTGCAAGACAACAACTGACTCAATATCAAATTTCCAAGAAATATTGGATGATGATTTCCAACATATTGTATTAAGAGGGGGAATGATGCATCAGACTGATGGGAGGTGAAGAAAGAATTTTCTTTTGGAAACTTCTCTAATAGCCAGCCATCTTAGTCAAACGATGAATGGTACTTCTAGCAACTCTATTGCCAGGATCGAGTTTCATAACAGTCCTGAGGTCTTCGGCCCCGAGCTTGTATTTCTCCATGCTCTCGTAAAGAAGAGCACGTTGTACGAGGACTGATACATTTGAGTCATCATGCTCCAGCACCTGCACAAGATAATGCAGCCTATGAGCCTTTTTTATCCTGAAGGGCAATGCAATGCCAATGAAATGATGCCACAACACAAAAATGAAGGTACTATCGCGTAGTGTTCATAGAAAAGCAATTGGAGACAAATTAGGTCATCCACAAACTGATGCTTCCTTTGCACAGATCAAACTTCATAAACTCCTTTTGAGACACACAACAAATAACATATTACAAATATAAATAAAAGTGGCTTTCGATTAAAATTACAGAAAGGGTAATGCACGTATTGTGACACTAAATTTCAACGTGCCAATTTGACTGGTACATAAATATTCTTGAGGGCAGAGCTAGACATTGAATTGCAAAATGCACAAAGAAAAATAACGAGAAAATGTAAGTGGTAGGGGCAAGATCTGCAGAAACATGTCCTAAATTAGACTGCCACACAGCAGCTTCCTTCTCTATATCTCATGAGCAATCATGCAGACAACTTGTGCACACTCAGTCACAGTCCTCTGTCCCTCATCCCATCCCACACGCGCAAGCATTTGCAAACATACAAATAGATCATGTTGGAGTACACAATTGAGGTGGTTATGGAGTCGATATTTACTTGCTGTGGCGATGATTAGATCTTGAAACGAGGAGGGAAGGGGGGTTGAATTTTAGGAGGTTCTCTTTATCTCTCTGCACATTCTCTGTTTGACATTGGGGGATAGCGGTCAGAGGGGGATGCTGCTACCAATGGCAGAGGCTGTAAGCCTGCGACGCCTTCATGCCCTTCATCTTCTCTTTTACTTGTAAGTTTGTAGAAATTTTCTGGGTGTCAATCATTTTAAGACAGATTCGAGAATTTGAAATCGATAAGGGGTCGAGAGTTGAAGGAGAGATGTAATCAATATTGGGAAGAAAATTGATTGTGTTGTTGAATAGTGAGGTATGACACTGGTTGTGGCAAAAGAGTATAGAGAGAGATGCCAGATGGCATTAAGTCGGCAGTGATCGCCAGCGCCTTGCAATAGCATTATGGTCTGTCAGGTTGTTGTGTAGAAAATGGAGGGCACAATATGGCCAATGAAAAATAAAAGCAAAATGCCTTGGTAGGTAATAAATTTGACAAAATTATAAATGTTAATACATCAGCAAGAATGACCATTTTGTTCAATATTACTTAGGAAAATGTTTACAACGGGGCACATTGACCAATTATAAAACCTAAAACAGGAAGATTCAGAAAAAAATTAAACTTGCAGGTAAAATCAAACTAGTGAAATTTAGTGATCTGGTAAAAAACACACTTCACACTTCTACAAAATTATTCGAAGAAACAGCAAGAATAGATGTGAAAAGCAAGCTTTATCATCTCTTTTGAGTAGAGAGTGATAACCTTTTCCCAGTTTTAAAGGAAGCTCGATCATCTCTTCACAATTAACCATTGATGTCAAATGAGCATAGAGATTGAGTTGACAACAACGAGTCTATACCACATTCATCCTCCAACAATCCCAATAGTTTCACTTTGAAATTGTGCCTTTCAATATCATTAGAAATCTATACAGAACATCTTCCAAGAATCATAGCATGACTTACCTTTTAAGGTTTTCAGAATAATATTTCAAGAAGCAATAATTAGAGCTAGCATAACTTTGGATCAAGCAAAAATTATATCCTCCGATTCCACTTTCTCAGGTTCAATTTATTTGTCAGGTCCCATAGACATCACAAATTATTTCAATAAACTGATATTGGGAGATGACATCGTTAACAAAACAATCTAACCTTTGTGCAGTCGGCCACAGCCTTTTTGTACTCTCCAACTTCCTTGTAACATGAAGCTCTGCAGGTTAAAACCTCTGTAGTCCCATCATCATCACCGGCCTTCTCAAGTAGAATAACAGCCCAAGACAACCATTTGATAGCATCAGCATACTGCCCCTGCTTAAGATTATCCATACCCTTAGTCTTTGCAGCTGAACCGGTAACTCCGGTGGGTGGGGGTGGAAGCCCTTCAATCTCGGTGGTCCCACCAGTATCATGCCCTCCAAATTCTGAATCCATACCCCAATCATCACCCCCTGAAAACTGCTGGCTTTCAAATCCTTGACTCTGGTTTGCACCACCACCGGAAGAAGAAAACAATGCGTCAAAATCATTTACCCCCACAGACTGCCCTGATGGCTGACTTTGACTCTGAGGCTGAGGACTTGAAAACCCAAAATCACCCATTGGATCGCTTTTAGTCGTGGGAAAAGCACTTGATGGAAATGACGATCCACTTGTCTTTGGAGCCACATTCTTAAAATCCCCAAACTCGTCTTCAAGACCACTCTTCTTGCTCCCTTTATTCTCTGATTTCATACCACCAGTTGGCTTAGAGCTGAAATCAACCAAAGATCCAAAAGGGTCCTTATTTGAACTCATACCACCACTTCCTGCCATACTCTTCATAGACGGACCACCTAGATTCGAACTCTTAGCATTATTCCCACTCAAATTCACATTCCCACCACCTATACTCGAACTCTTTGGATAATTTCCATCCCAATTCATAGTTCCACTGCTATAACTAACATTAGTCCCCGAACTTCCACCATTGTTCACAGAACTGTTCATTTTGGGCAATGAATCAGCCATTTCCCCCATCGAGAGCGTGCTTTTACTTGCAGTTGGAGCTGCGTTTTTCAATGGCACATTGGTGCTGTTCTTGTTGCCACCGATTGCCGAGCTCACCAAATCCCCAAACAAATTCGGGTTCTTACTATTCACAATCCCGATACCCAAGCCACCAGAGTTCATTGGAGCTGAAGAATTCCAGCTCTTCCCCAAAATATCTCCCACCATGGAAGTCGGGCCGGACAAAGACCCAGATCCACTAGACTGGATGGGATTCACCGGTTTATGGGTCCATGCCGGTGTCGTACTGGGCTTCGAATACGCAGATGAATGCGTATACGAGGTGGATGAATACGAGGACGTCTGTATTTTCTGATCGTTCAAAGATTTGGGGCGTCCCGTCCCGATCCCAATATCGAAATCAAAAGCATTCAGTGAGCCAGACTTGTTATTATATTTTCCATGACTCGAATTCATCCTTACTTCCTAGTTATTTTGTGGATTTTTGATTTCTCGATATATGATGAAAACTTTAAGGAAATTGGGGGAAAAAAATAAATCTGTAAATATATTGCAGATCAGAAAGAAGGAAAATGGGATATTGGGAAATCGATAAAAAAAAGAAAAAAAAAAAAAAAAATAATAATAATAATAATAAATAAAAAAATAACGTACCTGATTATTATCCGAATGTTTTTATTTTTTCCTCTGTTTACACAATAAAAATTTGGATCGGAGATAAAGAAGGGGGTAGTGAAAATTCTGCGTGTCGAAGAAGCTCGATTTTTCTGCGGCTGGAGCTATAAATTAAGGCGGTGATGTGTTTTTTTGGGATCAACGATTCTTCCAAATTTTAAGATGGAAGAGAATGGCGACGTAATTTCATGTCTAAAGAGGTAAAAGTAAAAGCCAATTTTAATGGTATGAGGTGAAAAGTGACACTTACTTAAATTTAGTTTCAACTTATTTATTCAGCCCTTAATGAAAAGTTATATTTTAAAATTGTATTCTCGATATTTTAAATATCGTTCTCGACATTTGATTTTTTTTATCAATTTATCACGAATTTTGAAAAGTGACTTTCATTAGAAGTTACATTAAAATAATGTTTCTAGACATTTCATACGTCATTATCGACATTTAAACACCGTTTCATTTGTTTAGAATTATATTTTATTTTGAATATGACATTTCTTTACATTTAAAAATGTCGTTCTCGACATTTCTGAATCAATGAAAAATATAATATTTATTGTGATTTGACATGTAACTTTTTGAAATAAATATGACAGGTTATGTGTGAAAATTTTATTGATCAATAACAATATTACAAAAATGTACATTTTTTTGTCTTAGTGTGGAATTATAAATTGTTAATAAGGATATTTTTGTCCAAATTCTTCCAAATTAGACATTTTTGCAATGATGGACATTTTTGGAAATAACTAGGTAAAAATGAACATTTTGTGAAATTTTCTCAAAGTAAAATTGATCAGAAAGGGGCTACTTTTAAAAATGGAATAGTCAAAGAATGGAGATTCTACTTCGACTTGTTCAATCCTCCTATTGAGTGTTAAAAGAAGAAAAATACCCTTAAGTATATTATATATTAACAAAAGGAGGTTTTGTTTAAAAGACATTACTCCCTTTTTGTTAATAAATAAAAATCAAACATTTTCAACTTAAAATGTCAAAATTAGCAAACTTCTCATATTTGTTTACTCAAACATAGATAAAAACACATTTATCTTTCATCTGCTTCAACCTCAAAATTGAGAAATTCATCGAACGCGGTAACTGAAATTCTTTTATATCAATCTTATTAAATCAGTAAGTTTATAATACACATATTTAATTTATTTCGTTAAATTATTTTACGTTTACATAGATAAAGGTTATTTCGACATATAATGTTAATGTGGATAATTTTATTAATAGATTTGTGAAAAATTTTAAGTTTTTGACGAGAAAAAATTAATCTGCATTAATATTGAAAAATTAATCTGCAAAAGTTTGGTGTGTTTATTCTGCCGGACAGCGAATTTGGACTGTCGCTGTCCAGTTAACAATTGAAAAAATTCGACTGTATAACCTGACTATTTAACATCCGACTGGACAGTTGGATTGAACAAACTGCGGTCGAAAAATGGTCGGCTATTTTTTAAATAGTCGGCTGTTTCTTAACTGCCGGCTGTTTAAATTTTTTTATTTCGTTCAATATTTTCTTACAATTAAAAATTCTTTTTCGTCATACAGATATGGTTATAGTCTCAATTTGTTATTTTGATAATTTCGAATTGGACGAAAGAGATCGATAGGTCTGAAAATGGATAAGTGATAAGCGTGGTGGTATCCCAATTTTCATAATAGAAACAACAACGTATGCAAAACTCCATAATGTTTTACAAAACAAACTAAATGTCGATCTCTCTCAGTATGACATGGAATTGAAATTTAAATTCAGCGATCAGGAAGTTCCGAGTCCACCTATGACAATTTCTTTTGATGTCAGAGTGAATTATCTGTTTGAAATGAACTATAAGCACTCGACTCCTATTTGAGTGACTTTAGTGTGGAAAAATATCTTCGAAGATGAACAAGTAGACTCAGATAGAGGGGATCACAATGCAACTGATTTTTGAGATACGGTCCACATAGTCCGTGAAGATGATGCGATTATTCCAGAGACAGTTACTCACAGAATTCTGTCTGTAATTCACGACAATGAGTGTGAAAATGCAAATACTTTTACAGACAATGATTTGATCGCTTTATCCCGACAGAGACATGAGCAGGGTCAGACCTCAAGAGCTGGATCGAGTGAACCGTTCTTAATTTCTCCCGTGTGGTTCCGATAGTGAGGATTTGTATGTCCAGCAATTGTTTGAAACGAAAAAGATTTGCAGGAAGCTGTGCATCTAATTACGCTGAAATACAACTTTGAGTTCAAAGTGAAAAAATCGAACAAGTTGTTGTTGACAATTGCCTGCATAGACGACAGTTGCCATTGGCGTTTGCGAGCGACGAAAATGAATATGAATGAATGCTTTGTAGTTCGCAAGTACACATGAGAACATACTTATGAAGTGAGATTACGTCGAAATGATCACAATCAAGCCCGAGCTTGGTTTATTGGTCGACAGATAATGTACAAGTATCAGGATCCTCGTACGATCTACAAACCATCGGACATCATTAACAACGTTCGTCGAGAGTACGGAGTAATTTTGAGCTACCAGAAGGCCTGGAAGGCCAAGGAATGTGCGTTCAAGGATTTAATGGGCTCTACAGAGGAGAGCTATGCTAAATTGGCCAGGTATTGTCATAACATGGGGAAAACTAATCCTGACTCGAAAATTTTTATTGAAACGGAAGGTGGGAATTGCTTCAAATTCTTCTTCATGGCTTATGGACAATGCATTCGGGGATTTCGAAATGCAGTGCGACCCCTAATTCTAGTTGATGGTACAACATTGAAATCTAAATATCAAGGTAAGTTGATTATTCCTACATGTCAATATGCCAACATCCAAATTTACCCTCTTGCGTTCGGCATAGTCGATAGTGAGAATCACCTGTCGATGCGGTGGTTCTTCACAAAGTTAATGGAAATAAACGGGGAAATCAAGGACCTTGCATTTGTAACAGATCGAGGACATACTTTAATAAGTGGTATCGCTGAAATTTTTCCATATGCACATCATCGGTATTACATGTACTATATTCAAGATAATTTGAAGACCGGGTATCGGAGCAAAGGTATCGTTTCATTATTTAGGAGAGCGACTGAAGTCTACACTGTTGAAGAGTGTAATAAATTCATAGTTGAAATAGGAAGTAAATCATTTGATGCATGGGATTATCTAACGAAAATGGGGATTGAACATTGGGCGCACTTATTTTTTTCAGGACGTCGATACAACATGATGACGTTAAACAATACGGAGTCTCTCAATGCATTATTCAAGAAGGATCGAGAATTACCCATTCTTACACTGATTGAGAATATCCGTATCAAGTTGCAGCAGTGGTTACACGATCGACGTGCGGAATCATAGAATTGCACGAGCGTGCTAACCCCGACACAAGAGGGAAGACCATTCAAAGTTGCAGAACTTGCAAGACAGTTGAATGTCGAACCACTAGACGAGCTGCGCTTTTCAGTGGAAGGTACACGTAATACGGCATACATGGTGGACTTAACTGATAACACATGCAGTTGTAAAAAATTTCAGTTGGAGACTTTTCCGTGTGAGCATACAGTCGCGGTGAGGACAGCTATAACATTGTACTTTTATTACTACACGATTGATTATTGAAGAGCTGCGTATGCTGAGACAATATTTCCTCTGTCGAACGAAGCTAAGTGGGAAGTCCACGATCATATTCGCCTACTGAATACATTGTTGCCACCTCTCATTGAACCGAGTGGTCCTGGACGTCCAAGTACGTCTAAAATATCATCTACCGAAGAATTCCCACGACCTCGTAGGTGTAGCCAGTGCAAATCAGTAGGGCATACTCGCCTATTATTGTACAAGTCACGTTCATCTTAGATCATTTGGTAATATTGTCCATCTGAATTAAACAGCGTTTGCATTTATTTTACGATATTTCAAAAGTCGTCGTAGTTAATAATCATTTCATAATCCATTACAGTGTGTTACAAACATTTCATAAATACGACAAATCAATATTTACAGTGTTTACAATTATTTCGTAATTACAAAAAATTACAACTAATAATTACAATAAATCTATGAATCATTTTTAAAATAGAATAAACGCCAACTTATTCCGCCAACTTTGTATCCAGGATTAGTTGATTCCATCAACCTTATGTGCTATACTCAGAAATTCGATGTACTTTAATGCAAAAATGGCACAATCGCCCCTACAACTCCTATCAGTTCTAGACGCAGTGCGCCGACCTCCCTTGATATAACTCTTGCACCATAAATTCAGTCAAGCGATGGTACAAATCATCAGAATAATCACCCTGAGGGAGAGGAAGTGACACCGGCAATAGAGGTGATGCCTTTGGCGGAGGTGATGCCCTCAGCGAAGGTGACGCCCGATCAACAGGCTCGCGGTCCTACACAAACTTACATATTATTAACTTATCAATAATTGCTAATTCATATAAAATATTAATGAATAATTCACTTACCCAGTCTCGATCGAGGATCGAATCGGACATCTAGTCGTCTTGGGTCATGCCTCCTCCTCCATCGACGGCATTAAAAGAGTTATTACTTCAAGCTAACATATTGACATTTTAAAAAAATAAAATCATGTAATGAGATTTTAAACTATGTACAATATAAATCACAAATTTATAATGCTCACCTAAAGATCGTCGAGGAGAGCCGATAATTATTTCTCAGTGGGACATCCTTCCGCTCGAGATGCTCGCCAATGGTGCATCCGAGGGCAGCGTATTTTCTCTCGCCGCGCAAAGCGGATACCCAATATGGGGATGGTTTCATACGCCTAGACCTGCAACACATAAATTAATACATACAAATTTAATAGAAAAAAATATTTTAACATTAATTGCGTTAATCACTTACCTGTAGCGCCAAGGGGAATCCATACGTGTCGTACTTACGAACGAGCCCCTTGGGCTTCGAGTGCAGTCTGGTGAAGTTGTGGACGATGTTCTCGAAACATCGGCGGCCCCATGGATAGCTGTTGAAGCGATCTATGTCGGTGACGATCTCGAGGTGGAAGAGGTCGATCGCAGTCTTCTTATGGTGACATCGCATCGCGCTCTCAATGATGTAGACCAGACCTAACTTTAGTCTGTCCAACATCTCGTCACTCCTCCTGATTGCGCCATCAGCTGAGACAAACCACCCCCCCGTCCCT